TCCACAACAGTTTATTTCTGGACAATTTTTAAACGAGGCCCGTGAAATATTGAGTCTTAGATGAAATGACGTGGCTAATCTTTGTGTTTTTGCCATTTCTGGCTGACACATGATGTCATTCTGGTGTTTGTTTTTATCAAAGGAAGCTGATTTTACATCAGCTGACTGGAATGTAGGTCTGGAGTTAAAAGTTTTCTCATGTGACTGTTGGTCACAGTTGAGCGACTTGTTGGCTTCATGGCTTGTTGTTTGTGCTGAGTCACAGACACTGAGTTTTCTGTTTTTAGATGCTTTGTGTTTGTATTTGGCAAATATTTAAATGAGACACATAGAATAAAGTCATTTTGATTAACTTTTAACTCAGATTTGGTTAATTTATGGAGCCTGTTTTGTCCAAACTGTTTATTTTTGGCATATTTGTGAGTGACACATATCACAAGTTTCATCTCTGGTTATCTTTCCTGACTGATGGACGGTTTGTTCACGTGCATTCGGACGGTTGAACATGTGACCATTTGCTCCGATAAACGGTGTAGTTTTGACATTTAAAGACAACGTCAAAGCCGATGACAGAACACTTTCCAGTGATGTAAAACCAGCAGCAGCAGGACGACGCTCCAACACGTCCTTCCTGCCGGGGAAGGTTCGGCCTCATGATGACGGATGATATCAGCTCCTGTCATGTGTTTTCACAATTCTGTCAGCAGCCCGAAAGTCTGATTCACTGGGTCAGTCTGTGCAGAGACGCTCGGGTCAGAACAACACTGTGACTCACTTCACCGCCGTGCTCCAATACGCTGCCTTTCCAGAAGCGGTTACGCAATTTTAGTCAAGATTTAGAAAGTGATTAAAAGATTTGTAGTTATTTCCCGGTTACGACTCGGCTCTGAGATTGTGGAATTTTAATACCCTGATATGAGAAGCTTCTAACGCAGAGTTCAATATCAGCTGTACGGTGAAGAAGAAAAGAAAAACTGTGCCAGTACTTATTTTAAATGTCTTTAAGCTGTGTGGGAAGTGTGGGGGAGGCAGCTCCGTCACGCACTGAGTCGTACGACCACGCATCTTTTAATAAAGATAAGAGGTGAGATTTCACAGTGAGTTTGTTTTGGAAATACGCTTTCATCGTGCGTTCATCGGTCTGGATGTGGAGGCCGATGCAGTGACGCTTCTCTGGAAATTCCCTGCATTCCCTGAGTCCGGACTTGAAAGAATTTGCCGTTTCTGTTTTTAATCTGTCGTTCTGCATTTTCCTAAAGAGCAAGAGGAGGAGATGAGCTGCTGGGAGGGAGCGGAAGGAGGCGGGGCCAAGTCGCAGCGCCACCAATCAGAGAGCGGCCTGGGCCTCGACTTCCTGTGTGAAGACGCAAAGTTGGACGAGTTACCGGGGCCCAAGTTCAGGTCACTGAGGCACCTGAGACAGGTGAGGACTT